TTGCCATATTTGGCTCGGCTCATGTTGGATAATCATCGCCCACCACTGGAAGGTGAACAATAATTAAAAACCTGCTTCTGAGATTCCAGCAGGAGGTTGGCTTGAAACACAGCAGTGCTGGTTGGCAGGCCGTAGACTGACGAAGTCCTCTGGATGGGGGACAAAACCTTTCTTACTTAAAGAACCTGGTCCAGATGACACGATTTAACCTTTTTTTTTTGTTGTGAACAATAATGTTTTTGCTTTTATGCGTGTTCATGTCTGTCACCTTAGTGAATCTTTTTGTAAATAATCACTAGATGTTCTTCTTCTTTCGGGTTTTCCTTCTTCAGGGGTCGTAACAGCGAGTCATCATCCTCCATCTCACTCTGTCCTCGCTCCAACTACCATGCCCTCTCCAACTGCATCCATATATCTTCTCTTTGTCTTTGATTAACGTGTGAAGTCATCCAGTTAAAGTTTTATGGGTACAGAGCTAAAGCTTGGTGTTTTGGGTCAAGCCCAACAGTTTTTACACATCGGCAAATATATATATTTTAAACTTACTAATCCTATGGACCTAACACTATCTGTCTGTTAGTAAAATATATCATATTCCAATGGATGGATTTTATTTAAACTCTCAGAAAATAATCACAGCTGAATATCGTTTAAAGTTTTAATCAGATTTTTATTTTTAGCATTATTGCAAACTTCCCACATTTCACTGTTATAGAAAGAACCCATCGCAGGCCTAGACTAGCCAAGATAATTGTAGTTATTAGTTTAATTGATTTTCTCCAATCTCAGTAAGTTAAGATCAGATAGTTCAGATTGACATCCAGCACAAATTACTGTGCAGATTAGACTATTATCAGTTTATAGTCTGTAGTCATTAAAAAAAAGTACTATTTGTTATAAAGTTGTTTCTCTGTTGTGACCAAATCAAGCCGTTCTAACGTCCGTGCTAAAAAAGATGCAAAATGTTTTAATAAATTGTCCAAAAACAAAATCATTTTGTTTCTCTGTCTTTGAAACTCCGGAGTCTGTTGCAAAACCCTGTACTTTTTCAGAATGTTACACAAGAACACAGAAAACTACTGCATACTGTATACATTTTACTGTTAAAAAATATAAACCTGATTTTCTGCGGTAGTTTCAGAACGCCTGGTTCGATTGGTGCTTTGTCAGGACACGTTATCTGTTGGCTTTAGAGGTACAGCAGAGTGGAGCAGCTTACATGTTTCCATGAAGAATGTGGGAGTTACTGTACAACCTAAGAATGGTCTCTTTCATGGACAGGATGAAGGGAAAACGTGTCGGCTGTCAGTGTTTTCTGTCCACGTGAATTTCAGTTTGAAGTTTCTCCCACATGATGAAGATTAGCAGCGCAGAGACGGCACAGCCTTGTGTTTGTGCCAGTCTCCTTCCTCCTTTCTCCCACATGTTTGTCTTACTAATGAAGAGGAGAAGAGGAAGGGAGAAAGGACACATGGCTTTCTGTTTCTCAGAGCTGTAGCATGTGAGGCATGAAGGGAAAGTGAGGGTCCTGATTCCTGCCTGGAGTCATGTAACACCTGATGTCCTAAGACTTTTGGACTCCGAGCTCTTGTTTGTGGTTCAAGTCTTTTCCTCATGTTCTAGTTGATGGAGGACAAACGGATCTTAAAGAATCAGGCACTCGTTTGTGGTTTCCTAACGAACACATTTTCACGATCTTGACAAAATAAAACTATTATTGTCAGTTTTTTCTTATAAAACACAGGAGGAAAGATCAGGGTGAACACAAACTATGTTACAGTCAAATCAAAGATTGAGGAACCCACTGAACACAAGATAAACGAGAAGATCTGGCAATGAATCGCAGAAAACTGAAGGACTGATGAGTAAACAACTGCAGGTGTGCAGATATGGTTGAGAAACAGGTGCAGGACATCTGGTGGTATAACAGGAATAAAACAGAATACTGCTCATCAGACGAGACTAAATTAATCTAACTCATAATGAACCCTAAAAATAACTAGAAGAAGGTTTATTTCAAACTAAAGCAAAGATCCAAAAATCACGGCAGGTATTACATCATTTTTAACATTGTTTTCCAGAAAATGTGAGCTGCAGAGTGGAGAGCTGTCAGTCAGTGTCCCCACTGACGATCCTACAACTGAGGCAACTACCATACTAATCACCTGTTTCCAGTACAGTCACCTGTAGTACCAGTTGGGTCACGCACCTTCCTCCAGTCACCAGTTGGAGCTGAAAGATGGAACCGTTTTTAAGTGTAATTGAAATAACTGAATACTAAACAAAGCAATAAGTCATTAGATTTATAAGTCCTGCTTTACCCCACAAAACAGGTGTAATAGGGGCGGCACGGTGGATCAGTTGGTAGAGCTGTTGCCTCTCAGGGAGAAGGTTGTCGGATCAAATCCTGGCCAGGAGATTTTAAATAATAAAGTAAAGTGCTATGTGTTGTCATCATTCTATGTTCCCATACCAATGGTGAAAATGGTTCCCTGCGTTTAACCCATTGCACCTGAGATACACCCAGGTGGAGCAGTAGGCAGCTATGTAAACGCCCGGGGAGCAATTAGGGATTAGGTGTCTTGCTCAAAGACACCACGACATGTGGGAATGGCTGGAGATTGAACCTGGGATTTTCGGGTCCCAGGTCAGCTGCCCTGCCTCGACCCCATCTCAGCCCCATGTCAGGGTGGAGTTTGCATGTTCTCTCCGTGCACGCGTAGGTTTTCTCCAGGTACTCCGGTTTCCTCCCACAAACCAAATACATGCACGTTAGACTGATTGGTAACTCTAAATTGTCCCTAGGTGAGAGAGTGAATGGCTGTTTGCCTTTGTGATGGACTGGAGACTTGTCCAGGGTGTCCCAAGCCCCTTGCACAGTGAATGCTGGATATGGGCACCATTGACGTCCATGACCCGAAAAGGAAGAAGTGGGTAAAGATAATGGATAGATAGATGGATGGATGGATGGATGGATGGATGGATGGATGGATGGATGGATGGATGGACGGATGGATGGTGTAAAAGGCTGGACATGTCAACACACTGTCTGTTCAAACTGTAGTCATGGTTTCCTGGTGCATGCTCAATAATCCAGGTAGAAAAATCTAAAAAAGTTAAGTCTGGTCCTCTGGACGTTCAAGTCATGTTGTGTTGGCAGAAGAACAGGTTCTGAGGTCTACTTGGTCTTACATTCATAAATAAATAAAATGTTTTTTTCAGTGTAATCACCTGACAACAGCTGAGAGCAGTGGACATGTTGCAGTGATAGTAAGGATGCAGGGATGTCAAAGGGAAGTTTGTGTTCGCTGCAGAACATCCAGCTCTGTGGGAGGTCCTGTCGGACCTGCAGGTTCTTCTCTGCTTCACGTGGTAAGAACAAAAGAGCTCTTTGGTTGCTCTCTTCACCACAAACTTGATTTCTAATAACTTCTTAAAGCTTACAGCGAGAACAGGAATTAATCTGGCTGCAGACGGACATTATATGATCAGGATTAATGAAGATTAGGAATTTAACGAGACAAAGGGAGAACATTGTCAAGTAGCAGGATTTGATTTTCTCTGCTTCTAACATTTACTTTAATCTGTTTTAAAGCAGAAGATCAAAGGAAACTCCAAGAAAAGTAAATGCCTTTCTTTCTAAAACTAATTGTGCAAATGATCAAATAAACATGTCCAGCTCCTTGTATCACTTATTGATATTCTGATAACCTCTGTAACATAAAAGTTACATCCCACGATAAATCACTTTAAAGTAAAACTCTGTCCTTTTACAGAATATTAAGCTGAAAGTTGTTTCAAAGGGTCAAACACATAACTGAACTTCTTGCGCCGCACGCTGCACTCAGATGGTGAGTCTGCCCTCTAGAAACAACATCCTGTCACACAGAAATCACCTCATCTACTAAACACGTCCGTCGTTCCTTTGAGACAATCACTCTGCCAGGCCCGGCTGGAGACACAGAGCTCATTGTTGGACCGGGGGCTCCCCAAGTCTGGGTCAGTCTAAACAAGTTAGGGCTCTTCAAATGATTCACAGAAGTCAAGTATCATTTAAAAATAATCGATGCCAGTATATTTTGCCATTATTGTTATAAAACATACACAAACACCAGTGAAAAATAAATCTTTCTTTAGTTGTTTGGCCGTTTGAGCTGCTATTGTTTCTTTATTTTTATGGCTTATTTGCAATGTTTGTTCACGTCAACCAACAAGTTTATCCTGCTGGTATTTTGTGGATTTTTTTCTTTGGTACATCATCATAAACATAATCTTTTTTTGTATGACAACACAAACATACAACGTATAAATTCACATGTAAGAGGAAAATCTCATTTTTTTAGTTATCATTGGATCAATAGATGCTGTCATTATTTTGTGCAATCACAGCTGTGATTTGAAAAATGTCTTGAACATCTGCATCCTTGTGTGATACAGGTTTTTATTCAATTAAACGAGTTTTTGAATAAGATTTGAATTTTTGAGATCTTTCAGTCTGGTTTTAAACACACAGCACCTAAACAGCTTTAGCGAGTGTTTGTAACGACATTCTTTTAGCTAATGATTCCAGTCAGTTTGTGATCCTTGTACTCCTGGACCTTACTGCAGCTTTTGAGACCGTTGACCACATCGCGGTTAGAACACTGGGTTGGGATTATTGGTGCAGCGTTAGAGTGGTTCCATTCTAATCTGAGTGACAGGAGTTGGTAATAGTGTATTTGTTTCAGTGCCTCTTTCCTGCGGGATTCTGCAAGGCTCAATTCTTGGACCCCTTCTGTTTTCACTGTATCTGCTCCCTTTGGAGTCATCCTGATGCTATCCTGATGATTGTCAGATTTATCTGCCATTAAAATCTAATAGTTCTTGCTCCGTTCACCCACTGTTAAAATGTCTTGATGGCATTAAGGCATGGATGACTTGAATTTCTTTTAAGTTTTAACAATCAGAATAATGACGTTTTTGTGTTTAGCCTTAGCTCTACTGCTGTCTCTGTTCCTGTAAACCTTGACTCTCTTGAGCCATATGTGAACAGCTGCTTACATATATGTGCTTTATAAATAAAGTTGACTTGACTTGATATTCTTGTTTTTGTAAGATGTGAAAGGGATTTAATTTTAGTGCACACGTTTCCGCTCGTCGTGGACTTATCATTTGTTGCAGTAAAGACTGGTTAACTCTGCATAAAGAGGTGGAAATTAGCTCTGGTGAACTCCTGGTGAATTGTCTCTAACAGGATGTCCTCCTCCTGGACTCCATCTGCTCCTCCTCCTCTGCCTCCTGCTGGCCTTCGAGCAGGCAGAGGCAGTTGGAGCTCGGGAGTGAAGGTGAAGCTGTAGGACGTTCGATAAATCAGGCCGTCTGTTCTGACGAGGGACAGAGGAACGGTGATGATGCGATGCAGGCAGCGCCACCCGTCGCTGAACACAGAAACATCAGGAACGACGCAGAGCAGAGATTTGGGAGACCTGAGAAAAAAAATCAAGCAAATATTTGCTGGTGCAAACCTGAACACAATGAAAATTGAGAGCTTATCAAATTAACACACAACTACAAATAAATGCAAATGTTGCATTAACGTCAGCTGATACACACAATATTTATTAAGCTGAAAAACGGCTTGTCTCTGTGGTTCTGAGGGATGGAGCTCTTAATTGCCTGAATAAGTTAAAGGTTGAAAATAGTGTCTCCGCGTCAATGCCTCTTTCCTGTGGGGTCCCACAGGGCTCAATTCTTGTACACCTTTTATTTTCACTCTGTCTACTGCTTTTGGGATCTATCCTGAGGAAACATGACCTTTCATTTCATTGTTATGGTGATGATTGTCAGATTTATCTGCCCTTGAAACCCACCAGTTCCTGCTCCATTCACACTCAGTTAAAATGTCGATGGCATTAAAGCATGGATGGCTTCCATTTTTTTCAAGTTTAATGATCAGAAAACATTGTGTTTAGCCTTAGCTCTACTGCTGTCACTGATTCTGTAAATCTTGACTCTCTTCAGTCATATATTAAGCAGTCTTTTGCAAATCTTGGGATGGTTTTAGACTCTGATTTTAAGTTTAATAAATAGATTAACTCTGTTTTACAAAAAACTTCTTCCAGTTCAGGCAGATAGCTTAAGGTTGTGTTGACCAGATCTGTCCTTGAAAAAAAATAATCCATGCATTCATTACAACCTGGCTGGACTACTGCGCTTTATATTTGGGTCATTCAGGTCTCTATTTCACATCTCCAGCTCGTCCAAAATGCTGCAGCTTGGCTCTTAACAAAAACTCCTAGGTTTGAACACATTTCACCGGTTTTGTCCTCCCTTCACTGGCTTCCTGTGCAGGTCAGAATTGATTTTAAGATTCTCCTGTTGACCTTTAAGTGCATAAATGGCCTTGCACCCTCATACCTCTGACCTACTTCAACCATATGTTCCTTCTTGGGCGCTGAGATCATCTGACCTGCTGCTTTTGGTTGAAGCTCAGAGGAGATCGGACTTTTTCAGTCTTTGTCCCTAAACTTTGGAAGAGTCTGCCCCCCAACATTAGACATTCACTTCCTGCTTTTAAATCTCTCCTTAAAACACGTTTTCACGGACGTTTAACACAGTGTGATTTGATTTAGTATTTCATCGTTTCTCGTTGTTTTTGTGTTTTTATGTTTTTATTTATGATGATTTTAACTACATCTTGGTTTTTTTAATGCCTTGATTTTACTGTTACGTACTTTGGTGACAGCTTCTGCTTTAAATGTGCTTTATAAATAAATTTGACTTGAATCTTCTCAGACAAACAGCATTTTGTAGATCAATTATTCACACAAGGATTTCTTGCACTCTCCTGAGCTGCTGGGAGGAGTGTTTGCCGAATCTCGTGGTGAGCTGGTCTCTACCACAAACCATCGACTGTGACACCTCAGCACTTACACTGTGGGAGCTGAGGCAGGTTTTTACGTCAGAGAGGACTTTGATCCTAAATTCATCATACGAGACTCTGTAAGTGAGATCTATGGCTGTCACATGTCTGCACAGCCTTTATGTGATTTACAGACTTCCAAACAAGAGTTGGACGCAGGACTTTGGCCCAAGCTGTGTTTCTCAAAGTATTTTTTTATTTGAGAATAAAATGCAGTTATTTATTTGGTTCCTTGGCATCATTTTTGTGTCCAAGTCAGGTTTGAAAAAATATTAATCTTAAAATAGAATATTTATTTTGCAAACATCCAACAAATTTATAAAAAAAAAGATTATCTGTATGTTTTATTGAAATTCCTCCAAAACCTGCTTAAAAATTTAGCACCAGTTAATTATTTTGTTTAATTCTGCTTGGTTGCATTATATTTCTTTCCAACTATACAAACCCCAACTCGCAGTCCGTGCCCACACTTTTATTGTCCGTTCTCTTTAACTCCTCTGCTCTTCTGTAAACTGTATTTATTTATTCCTTCTAACTCACTTGAACATTGTTTCAGCCTCGCTGTTGCCAAATAAAACCTTCAGGTGAGGACTGAAGTTTTCTCCATGGACCTCCAACATGGCAACGTGTCCTCCACCATTCACCTTTCAAATAATTAAATTAACATGTTAAGGGGAAATTAAGCAAATAAAATCTCTATTAAATTCCTAGAGAAAGTGATGCATAAGAAACTCACCTCTAACCCGGTGATGACGGGGAACGGGTTGACTGGAGTCTGAATGCAGGCAACCCCCTGATTGAAGGTGAAATCCACCACCTCCACACCAATGATGGTCCAACAGGATCCATCATTCAGCACCACCTTGCTGGAGTCCCTGGTGCCGGACGGGGCCTCGAATAAAGGACAAGATGGAGGATATTTTAAAAATAAAAGAGCGAGAACAAAGGATAAAGACATGAATGGATGGATTCATGAAGAAATGAAACAGATGAAGTAAAGAGGTGGAGCTGCCTCACCTGGTACTGGATGATGGAGTCATTTGAAAGGCACAGATACGTGTTGGGACTGTCCCTGAACTGGAAGGCACACTTGTGGAGCTGAGAAACGGGTTCGTCCACGTCTAAGATGGCGTGCTGCTTGTTGACCTTCCGAATCACCTGCATGTATCGAACAAATCTCAAAAAGGTTTTCAGAGCACCAAAGACAATTTTCACTCAATAACTGTGATTCTTATTACACCATGTCTTTAAGAATCAAGAAAGGAAGTTCTGTTGCCTTTTACCAAAATGACCATAACCTGACGCAGCAAGTCAAATACAGAAAACTGACAGTTCAGAGCTAAAATATTAAAAGGATTTAAATCTAGGTGGTCTGAATGAAATACCTGCAGGTTTTGTGCCCAGAATTTGAGCATTACCTCACCAGAATTAAAATACCCCAGACTCCATGGCACAGAGGAAATTAATGTTGTTTTTATATATAAGTCCACTGATCCGGCTGAACATTTTGTTCGGTACATCCACCTTCCTTGTCCTCAGTCTATGAATGGAGACCACAAGAGAAACCAGAGCCGAGAACCTCGTCACACTCCAAACATAGCAGGAAAGATCTCTTCATCTTTCAGCTAACTGTGCAGTAACAGGCCCCAACTACAACAACATATAGAGGTATAGTGTGAGGGGCCACCTTCACCATCTTACACAAAACCCACAGCTGAAGGTGTTATGTAAGCAGCTCAGGAGGAAACGTTCAGTTCAGCAAAATACAAAGAACTCTGCTCAGGTTCGTCTAACTGGAAGAGGGGAGGAACCCCGTTAACGTTCGGGATTAGCTGTTCATGTAACAGCTGAACAAATCTGTGAGACCAGTCTGAAGAGGGTTAACACTCAACCGTGGGGAAAGACCTCTCTTGATTAAGTTCTAAAGATCTATATAGAGGGATATAGACA